GGACTACAGGACCAGATGAGAAGCATGGAGGACTACAGGACCAGATGGAGAGCGGTGGTCGCCTTTCTTTCTGCAGGGTAGGTTATACCCTCACCAAGATTACAGAAAAAGTAGGGACATAAATTCTTTATACATATGTGGATTACATTTATTATAGGAGCCGCTGTTCCCACAAGTATTCATCCCTTGTGTTTGTCTCCCATAGGGCAGGACTCCTCTGTGCTATAGTTTCACTACTGGGGCAGCTGAGAGTGGATGTCAACCAACCAGTCAGTGTGTAGAATACAGTGTGTTAGTATAAACTATATGTACAGTATGTTCATCTCCTAAATGTGCGATATATGTTAGAAAAACTCTCTAAATATCTGTTTATATGACAAACATGTCCTAATGTTTCATATAATTCAGAAATCTGACGATGTATGACATCTTAAACTAAATAAATATTGTGCAAATTACGATCAATGTCTTTAGATTTTCATTTGACTCAGAGGTATAAATGTTATTTATGTTAAGTATTATACATGATGCTCAAATTATTACATGTTGACATAAATGAAATATATAAAAATATATAGCTTTAATGTAGAAGTGAAGGGGCCTATTACATCAGAAGAAATATGCCGTTAAAGTTCTTGGTTTTCAGATCAGTTCTTTTACAGTTCAACTGACAAAATACAGCGTAGCCTGTGGCACAGTTGCTCAACCTTTCCTCAGTTTTCGGGAGGCTCATCTCGCTCTGAGCGCCCCAAAGCAGCCATCACAAGAACAGCACAAAATATCCACAGAGCGACACACAATTTCCCAAAAGTGCTTGGCAGCAGCTTTCTACAAATTGCCCCCGATAGCTCAAGAAGGCGTAAATTAGGTGGGCAAATTTGTCACCATATGCAACCTGAGGGCGCCTCGCTGTTGGATCACATCTAGCGCCTGTTCATGAGTCTGATTACAGCCAAGAAATGCACTTTGTCTCCACTAATGCCCCTTTCATTTTTGAACGGGGCCCAGATTTGTCAGTGATCTGTGAGACTGTGAATCTAACTGACTGATTAACACCATCATCAGCAGACATACTGTCTCCGCATTCTCCAGTCGGTTTTATCTACAGCGCTATCATGGTGGAAGCACTTTTCAGCTCCCCCCGGTGCCTTTGTACGCTCTGAAAATTGAAGTGTCATCCCACTGTATTTGTAACACAGGGAGCCTCAGACGGAATATTACCCCGAACAAGACTCAGGAATCCACATCGCATGCTGCCGCTGCTTTATTGTCTCACTGTTGGGCTCAGCAATCTCCCGCCTAGAGAGTCTTATTCCGGTAGTCCTCCCCTCATCGTCATACTCTCAACCTCCCAGACAACAAGGGAAATCTTGTTGAATGGCTTCATTTTTTTTTTTCCGGAACATTTTCTTCTCGTTTTGTTTCACAGATTTGGCAAGGGTAACTGGCAGGGGGGGGGGGGTGAGATAAGAGATAACAGTGTGAGGGGTTACTACAGGTCAAACAGCGAAGTGTCTCTTCAGCACATCTCTTGCAGGCAAGACAAAAGCCTTTTTATCATCTTTGAACACGACCCATTGCCACAAAACATGTGAAAACATATAGGTACCATATTTTCAGTTGGTGCCTTCACCAACTGAACACACCAACATGTGCATCTGCTGTATGATCATAAGATCCTTCTTCTAGATCCTGAGGTGACTTCTCTGCATGTTGTCTCATCCAACTCAGTGTCATAGTTCACCCTGCTCCATTTTTGCCCTTTTGTTTCATTCATATCGTTCATGGTCAGTGCCTTCCTGTTTTATTTTGTCGCTCGCCTCTTTTCTCTTCACTTCCTGCCTTCATGCGTTTTCCCACCAGTTTTGATTGTCTGCCCCGCCCAGATTAGTTTCCCCTGTCCCTCGTCAGCCCCTGCAGTCGCCTCACCTCCTGCTCACCTGCTCCCACTTATTCGATCAGTCATTCACTACACATACCAGCCCAGTTCCTTTGTTCTTTGGTTGCTGTTTGGAGATTCAGTTTGACTTTCATCTGCCCGCCTTTAGAACTTTGAGCCTGTATAGTGGGGCAGGTAATCACACCTGTGTTTACCCTGCAATGACATGTCAAAATGGCTGGTGTGAAAAGGGCCTATGTTGCAGAATACAAATTGTATAACTCTTGATGATTTGCCATGGTGTGTTTAAACCGATTTGATTTTCTAAGGGTGCTATTTAAAAGCTTCCTACCTGGGGAAAAACTCAAAAACCAAATGAAAGGAGCATGGTTATTTTAGGGTCAAACTTCACGCCTTTGCCTTCATGATGGAATGAATACTAATACATCTGTAGAACAGCAAGATCTTTAGCTATGTTGAAACTGCTAACTCAGTAACCGCTTTGTAAAAATCCAACCATCCAACGAGCACTTTGGCTGAAACATCCTGATGATTGGATCTATGGCAGGTTGGCCTGCAGGGAAATGTTAGCTCTATTGACGTGACCATCAGTTGGAAAACCAGAGTTCAAAATGGTGAGAAGCAGCATAAGTCAGCCTGGTGCTAGAGAGAGGCACTCAAAGCCATCTCCACCCTGAAAAACATTTTACTCACCATGAGTCACTGTGGAAAGCAGGTTACCATCATTGAACAAGGGAACACTGCGTGGAGAATACGTGATGATAAGCTTGCTGCTGCCAGATTGCGCCGCAGCTGCTGGTAAACCTGGATCTGAGAGACTGGAAATGAGAACACCTGCAAAGACCGGGAGTGATGGCGGCAGCTGCAAAAAAAGTTGAGGAACACAATGAGTGTACTGCAGAAAACCAAATAACCACCCCAACTAAATACTTACCACTCGGGGTTGAGGGATCTTTATAAAGTCAGGCTGGGGAAATGTAGGGCTTAAAGATGCACCTATTCATATTTTTCTATAAATAATGGATGAAATACTGATGTGTAATGTGAAAAACGCTTAATGTAGTGACAAATCCACCAAGAATTATGAGAACATGCAACTTTTCGGTTTCTCCCCACTCTCGAGCATCCATGCATCAAGCAGCAGCAGGCGCCTTTTTTTTCTGTGAAATTGTTGATGTAACCCAAGGTATGGTATTTGCCTGGCACCAAACAGCAGCAAGACAAAGTTAGCGGGTGAACCAATTGGAGCATTTAACAGCAAGGAGTCAGATATTTCCCCCGAGGAGGCGGTGAAGACCAAAGTAGAGGTAAAAGTAGAGTGAAAATCTGACTTATATTCGACGATGTTGCTACGTATCTCCTGGTTGTTATAATAAACCATTCTGTGTACATATACATATATATATTTATATATATAGAGAAATATTTATTAATAACATCTGAATGGACAATTTACACAGTCTGCCTTAAGTTCATACTACATCTTGTGTTTACGCTTTGATTAGTATCTCACAACAAAAGAGAGATTTCAAAAAATGACTGACAGAAAAATGATGCATGCACTGTACCCTACAAACTGAAGAAATTCTCATTGTTATTTGTGACAGTGTCCAATACAAAGACATAAACAATACTGCCATTAGTCCGAATTTCAAAAAACAAACACTGGCTCCATTAAAACAACAGCAGGGTGCAGTCTAAACTAATAGCATTAAGTCCTGTTACAGGTAGATTCAGGAAAGATTCTGAGTCGTCATTATTTTTTTTATGATGACAAAGCCCTAATCCAAAAGGAACAATCCCACTGGTTTGATAATTTAAGCCATAAAACAAGGCTTTCTGAAGAGGGCAGACCTGCATCTGCAACACATTCTCACTTCAAACTATGATGCTCCAGGTTCCCCTCTAGCGACAGTTTTGGATGTGGCGGGGACGGCGTGTTTGTATTTCACCAAATAAATATATTTCTCTTTTTTTTCAAATAAACTCCTGGCAACAAAACCACTTAGTTAAGTTTAGAAAAAGAGTGTGGTTGGCGTTAACGTACTAACGACTCATATGGCTAGCGAGTGACAAACAAGGGTAAGGGTTGGGTTGAATGTGGACGCACATGAGTCATGTGACCCACAACTGACCAGAAAAAATGGCAATATTTACTGACTGACCAAGCGTCACGATTGGAGTTGAAAGTGAGACCTTGTTGCAAACTTGGTTTATTTTCTTGGATTTGTCCATAATTTATATCAGTTATGGTAACACTGTATTCACCAGAGTTCAATACCAATATGATTGTTCCACCAGTGTGTACGTCGACCCTTAATACACTTTAATTTGTAAAGGTGTCTTTTCATTAATTTTAAGGGTTCTATCATATTGCATCATCATCGACAAATATAATGCTTAAATTGTAATAAACCAGAATTATCTTTAACTTAAGAACCAAAGAATATCACTGTCTAGGTTTACATACACAATAATATTCCACTTTGAAAGGGGTCATGTGTACAGCATACTAGAGACTACATATACTGTACATACTATACATATAGGCCTTATTCCCAATGTTTGCTTTTCCGACAAAGAAATGTAGGATATGCCAATTTTAATCTGGTTTCAGGAGCATTACATGTATACAGAATAATTGGAATATGCTTTTCAATTGGGGTGTTTACGTCAGTTTGCGACACAACCGCTTGCAGGTCTACGGCCAGCTCGGTGTGATGTAAACAAACCAACTAGCCGACAGGTTGCAGAGATGCAAGCCCAAAAGAAAAGCCCAAAAGTTCTGGTCAGACGGAAAAACACAACTACTTAAAACAAGACTTGGATATGCACACATATCCCAACCGAAGGGCAAAACACGTTTGTGCATGTGAACAGTCACTGAGAATCATTAGCAGTTGCCCTTTAGCCAAAAGAACAAGCCCCTTTCACTGTCACCACCAACACGTGTTTCCCTCATTTTGACCACACCCTGTGAACAAAGTATGACAATTTTAACATGCAGTAAATAAAACCTACATTACACATTCTTGGAGCAAATCCTCTTCATTTTACATCTTTGCAGGAAGTGTTCTGTGAGAAAGTTGCAGGTAAAGGTAAAACTAAGGCTTTGTTCATGTCTGCATGAAACAAAATGTTAAAAGAGAGCTAAAATATTGTGGATCTGAACAGGAATGCCCTGTCTGTCACTTCTAAATCTGCAACCGCACCTGTCTAACTCTTACTGCATCTAAGAAAGCTCATCACTCACACGAATCACAATCACGGCCTAGAAATGAATGATTTTTGGTCCACAAAACTGAGATTTGTTACAAAAGCTCGATCTGTTAGATAATCTCAACCTGTTAATGCCGCCAGCAACAGCTCAGAAATGACAAATGAAAGCACTGTAGTAGATCAGTTGGAATGTAGTTAAAGTGATTTTTGGTTGTGATGAAGGAAAGAAAGAAGTGGGGATTGGCTTTTACAGCGGTCTTAGCAAACTAAAGTTTTTCAATCTAATGACACGCCAGCTTGAGTAATAGCTTTTAGCTGATGCTTCTACTGCAGTCGCTTGTTAGCCACACTATATTTTTTAACATTTCACTACGACTATCTGCAGGACATCTATCGTTCCACCACCCTGAGGCTGTGTGTGTGCGTGTGTGTGTGTGTGTGTGTGTGTGTGTGTGTGTGTGGGTGTGTGCGGTCATGGGGATGGTGGTGTCTTGAGGGAATTGGTGGATCCTCCTTGGCTTCCACTCCCCACCGCTCCTTGTCCGACCCACTGGACAGCAACAGAGAAGAGAGAGGGATGGAGAGAAAGACGATCTGGTTAGATGCAAACAGAAGCCAAACAAAACTAAAGGTTTCATTTTGAATCTAAATTGTATTTACATCATGTATGTAACTTATTATCCTATGAGACGCACACCTCATAGAGCACCATCACATGCCATTAACCAGGAAACCATCTATAGTAAGTTCTGTGTAAGGCCGGCAAGAACCTTAGAGAGTTTTTGGGGCTTTGTCACTGCATCATTCACCAAAAGCACTCGGTGACCGAAAAGCCGAATTAACCTGGAAATTGTCAATTATATTTGCACATGTGAATACAATCGCTGGCACTTCAAAGATCTCATCACCAAAGTTGTATCTTAAAAGCAGTGAAAATGCTCTTGGAAGAGGAGCCAATGTGAAGCTCCATGATATCCATTGGATTTTAGATATGTCCATTCTTAAGAGACAAACACACTGAAGCTCCTTTAGAAAATGTCTTTAAAATGGAAATCTAATTCCTTATGTATTCATATGCTAAGAAATACTATGAATGTCTTCTTTAAATTTAATGGACAGATTTGTTTGCGTACAAGTAAAAGTTTTGCCTGATGATGGCACTTGAGGAAAGGTCAAAATAGGCATCCAAAACATGAGAATTCATTATCCGGGGACACAAAGTGGGTCAAGGGGACAATTTGACATTATGGTGGTGTTGGACAAAACGTCAGGGGGGGTCACAAAATCACAAGAATAATCATAGGACAAATACAAACAACGAAATACTATATCAAATTTCATATATTCTGGACAACAGCGGTGGACAACCAATTAAAGCAATCCGATTGGTTCACAGCCATACTATAATTACCACTCCTACGACATCAGATGCGGAGTGGAGAAAAAAAAGACTAATGTGTTTTATGGTTGCTTAGCGACACGGTCACCGAGGGATCACTTCCGCCGACATGCAACTTGTTACGGATACAAAGTAACAAAGTTATCTGTTAAAACCAGGTGGCAACCTCCAGTTCTGCCGAGTTCAGTGTCTTAAAACTTGCATTCTCTACTGACCAGCAGGGGGCGACTCTTCTGGTTGCAAAAAGAAGTCTGATTGTACAGAAGTCTATGAGAAAATGACACTACTTCTCACTTGATTTATTCCCTCAGTAAACATTGTGAACATGAGTTTATGGTCTCAATCTCTAGTTCAAAGTCGTCTTCAATACAGCATGATGATCATTTAGTAAATTATGGTCCAGTTTAGATTAAAATAGACCATAAAGCAGAGTATGCTTTCGGGCGGGCTTACTGTGATTGACAGGTCGCTGCTTCTACCAGAGCCATATACGGCACGGTGTCTTTAAGTCACCATTCCGAATATGGTAACTTCTTTACATTGCCTGAAAAACAAACAACATGGCGACGACCGTAAACCAAGATGGCTACGGCGAAATCGCTAAACTCGAGGAATGAAAACGGCAGTCCACAAACCAATGGGTGACAACACGATGACTACGTTTGTGGCTAAAACCTGCTATGAAATTGAAAATTTTCAGTTAAACATCTATGGAGGAAACTGAATCCCCAAAAGTGAGTCCACCGGTAAACAACATGCAGCGCTATGTAAGGAGGTTCTGGTCCTGGCCTCGTGTGTGTGTGTGTGTGTGTGTGTGTGTGTGTGTGTGTGTGTGTGTGTGCGCGCGTGTGTGTGTGTGTGTGTCTGTGTGTGTGTTTACAGTCTTGGGCGAAGAGATCGAGTCGGTGAATTATTAATGCTCTCAGACTGTGGTCAGAGGGTCAGTGAGGCTCACTCAAACACTTCAGAAAGGCCTTTACACCTAAAGTGCATAAGGAAACTGAGTGTGCACGTGTGTGTCAGACAGAGAGACACAGATGTTGCATGTTGAAATAATCTATTAGTCTTTATATCTCAATACGTTATTTGTAATAATTGTGTGTGCGTGTGATGTATCCAGTGGGCCTGGTTCCCTCAGGACTTCCGTGTGGATCTTTTGGTAACGAGAGAAATGCCTCCATGATGGAGAGTTTCCAGCTGCACCGCCATTTACTTTCTCTATTTACACCATTTAGAGGTTTTTATTTGTGTTGTACATTTTGTTAACTTCACATTTTTCTCTGGTCCTGCTGCTGTAGTCCAGTGCTGCTGCTAATGGCCTCAGATAAGCCGTGGCTACTGGAGAGTGTCTGACAAAACCTGCATTTGTGTGTGTGTGTGTGTGTGTTTTCGTGCTACACAAGTGACCCTAGAGACAGCGTGAGAGCTCTTCTTCTAGCTTCACCGTCGTTGCCGATGTCAGGGTCACTGACCTCCCACTAACAGTGCAACTCCTCCGGTAGACGCAGTGTGACAGCTAACACTTAATTTACTTCTCGGCTTAAAGCAGCGCCTCAGTAACACACGTGGGTGAATTCACAAAGGATGGATCGTGGCCGACTGTCGCAGCGTGAATTGCGCGTCATTAAAGTCTGCTTTCTATTTGAGAATTTTTTTCAAATATCTGCAGAGATCGAGTGCGTCTCCCCATTTCACTTTAAGTGGGCGTGTCCATTTTGCACTAAATGCTTATTACCTCATTTGAATATGTGCTTATATCATGAGACGTGGGAAGAATCCCGGTACCAGGATGCAATTTAACAAGATAAACGTGGAAAACGTATCTAACTGCCTGTACAACCGCTTACTGAAACACAACAAAATCCAATTGAAATGTTAGTTTCCTGTTACTCCTCTGACTCACACACACATACACACAAGTTAAGTGAAAATATGTGGAAGACAGATTCTGACTTGAACTGCCCTAAAAAAAGTTCCCTTGGTGTTGTTGAAATACTTTATATTCCATGAAAAGGAAACGGATCGTTTGATATAAAGCACCGAATTGCACAAATAACAAACCTGCTGACCTATCGGTCAGAAAAGTTGAGACCAACTTTCATCCTCCAACTCTAGCTTAATTTTTTCCAGAGGAGTTATTTGTAACGTTCATAGTTCACATTGCTCATGAATGCTATCATGCATGACAGTATGATACCTTAAGAGTACAAGCTGTTGTTGAAACATCCTCATATCCATCATTTTAAAAAAGCTCTCAATTTCTTTACAAGTTCTTGTTTTCTACCTAGAAAAGCAATGGTGTATTATTTGTTCAAAGGTTCTCTATAAGGAGCATTAATATAGCAGCAAACAACTATTTGTGATGTAAAGATACAATGGAGTAATGTCTACCTGAGCAGAGAATGAAGTCACTCTATGTGTTCAAGCTTTTCTGTGCTTTGTTGTATAGCGGGGCCGGCCGCGTGTGCCTTTTTGTGAATGTGAATGAAGGGCCATGCTGCACTGACAAGTGAAGCCAATGTGGAAGTGTCTTAAAACTGCATTCTCTTTATTGACCAGCAGGGGGCAACTAATCGGGTTGCAAAAATAAATCAGATTGTATGGAAGTCTATGAGAAAATATCCGTACTTCTCACTTGATTTATTACCTCAGTAAACATTGTAAACGAGTTCATGGTCTCAATTGCTAGTTTCAAGTCTTCTTCCTTCAGTACAGCATGATGTTCATTTAGTAAATGATGGTCCTTTTAGAGTAAAATTGACGATAAAACAGTGTATGCTTTAGGGCGGCGTCATTACGGCACTCCTCCGCAATCCAAATATGGTCACTTCCGTTTACTGATTGCAAAATACCAATACGGCGACGGCCAAAATGCCGAACTTGAGGCTTGAACGGTAGTTCACAAACCAAAGGGTGACGTCACGACACTGCGTCCACTTCTCATGTCTTATAGTTAATGGTGTGTGCCCCACTGGCTGGCCAATCACCGGCGCTCTGCACTGCGCTCATACCAATGGTAACTGTAACTGTAACATACCCCGGCATGCCAAATCATGCCGGGCTGTTACAGCTGGTGTGATCCCATCGTAAAATGGTCTATAATTTTGTATAGTTTTTGTGAGGTTGTAAGGTACAAGTTCTGGATTCTGAAAATGGACTGGGAAACTGGGTTTCTTTTTTATTTATTAATTTTATCACAAGGGATTTCACGTAGCCTGAGCTCAAATTTCTCTGTTATATGAAATACGTGTCGCAGCCATCGTTCTAAAGCGTCGGTATCACTTGGGAAAAGCAGCACGCATAGGTTAAGTAAGTGATCTTAATGGTAAAGCAATCAAAATAGATACTCATTAGACATCAGCTGGCCTGATTTTAGATGGAAATGTCATTAGGGTGGCTGAGAAAAGTCAGACATGTTCATTAGAGGTGGAATAATACTGCTCATAATGAGCATCGTCAGACCTCCTCTGGTAGAAAATAATGATGTCTACAGAGGATTTGTGTCAATGGTCCTCATGACGACTTATGTTAAACAGTTAACAAGCTAGCTAGTGTCCATTACATCTACTCAGGAATATTAAACATGCCAACACATCTCTTCATAGAGCTGAAGACACGTATGAGCCGGCGGAGGCTGACGTTCCATAGCTGATGATTGGCTTCACATTTATCCAGACAGCAATCCATTTTAAAGCATTTTATCTTCTGACTCGTTCAGCTGAATACAAATAGATTTAGGGTTGACAACTCGACATGAATTTACATGAATCAGTCCAGCATCTGTTTTAGTTTTTTTTATAATGAATGAGGGCAGGGGATTCAGAAATAGAAACAGCTCCAGTGAATGTAGCCACCTCTATGTGTGTGTGTGTGTGTGTGTGTGTGTGTGTGTGTGTGTGTGTGTGTGTGTGTGTGTGTATGTGTCTCTCTCTCTCTGTGTAAGCTAAGTGCCTCTGTTGTGGCAATCCCAGAAAAACAAGTCAAGTATACAGAGGGTTATGCAGTATTTCTGTTATGTAATTGTTTCTTTTTTTTTCTAACTGGACCTAAAAAATGAAATGCACAATGTGGCAACATGAAATACAAGACTCATTTAGGAGTCTCTTCATTCATGTTTCTGATGTCTTTTTCTGTTTTGAATGAAGACTCTTCATCTCTACTCTACTGTACTCTACTCACCTTTTGGGTATTTATTCTTTAAATATTCCTACACAAGTATGTTTTTGCTTGAATATTTTGGCTCACTTAGCCTGAGTCTGAGGGACCAGCCCACTGATATATAAAGACAAACCCATTGCATAGCATACATCGAAGGCTCTTTACCTCTAGGTAATCTGATGGGTTTTTTCCATCAGCGGTGAAATGCCATTCAACGAGAAAGTCATTCTGACCTAATGTTGATAGTATACCAATTGTTAAGTCATGCCAGTGGCCGCTGGTCGATTTGCTCCACCGCTTCGGTCCAGGCAAACAACTACAAGATGGTTTATCATCAAATGAAACATTCATGTTGTCCATAAGATTAACTAAAGATGAAGACTGACCACCATGGGATTGTTATTTTTGTTTCTTAGTAACATCTCTTGAGTACTATTGGATGGATTGGTCTAAAACCTTTAAAGGCAAGAATTTCTTAAAAATGTATGTATAGATGAATTTTTTAAAAGATCTCTTTCAGTCATCACTTATGACCCAGTTGAAGTGTGTGGTGGTGTCTGTATCTGGAGAGAACTTGCCCTCTGCCTGTATTTGTTTGTTACTGTTATTTTGCTGTGTTCGGGGTGTTTCTCGGCATCAGCCTTTGGGCAATGGTAATGTAACCCCCAGCCAATAACAAGGGGCAGGTGAGTTTGGGACTTTTTAAAAAAAAATGTAGGGCTTCAGGTCTGCGTGTCTGTTTGGCCGAGGCTCGGGGCCAACTTCAGATGTTGTGTTTACAAACAGTAAGCACGAAATGCTGCATAGTATATCTTTAACATACAGTCATGGTCACCAGAGGATAAATCCTCCTGAATTTGTGGATCCCCTGTTTTATCCTCTGGCTCCACCATGAGGTTGATATTTGTGTAAAATGTCTTGATATTCAGGTTTCCCTTCGGATGAATTGTTTCATTTTGATAATCTCTAAATTTTTATATAGCGCCATCACCAGGTCTAATGTTTTCATTTGGCCAATACTTTGTTTTATGAACAAATAACTAGCTGAACTTGTTACATCCTCAGCAGCCTCAACTGTACTTTGTGTTAATCAGCAAATGCTAGCATTCTAACATGTTAAACTAACACATTGAACACGTTAACGTTAACATGTTCAATGTTAACAATGCTAACATACTGATATCTTAGCATTGTTATCGTGAGCATGTTAGCATTGGCATATAACGCAAAGCATTAGTGTTGAAGAGTACAGCCTCACACAGGTGCTAGCATGTCTGTAGACTGTGTAGGTGATGCTTAGATTCTTACTTTGAAAGCATAGATTAAAACATTGATAGGACTGTATTCTACCTGCTGTATACACAAGCAGTCCATACCTCTATGAGTGGGTGCCAGTGTGCAATGGGTTTCCGTGGGTATGACAGCATCTCGTTCCAGTGGTCTCGCCCCAGGCTCTCCGCCTCGTTGCCCACCCTGCACACCCCGATCACTTCATTATGTCCGACCCTGCAGGACAGAAAGAACAACACATGGAGACTCAAAAATGTTGCATCAGTAAATGTACTGTAGATGAAACACATATACTGTATGTAGGTCAAGGCGACAGGTTATTTAGGGCAGAAAAAGTTTAAGTGATACTGAGGAACTTAGAAATTAGTATGCACAACATGCATAACATGGGTCATAAACATGTTCATTTTCAATATAGCGAAAAAATGTACCCTTGTGGGATTAATAAGGTAACTATCTCTCTATAATTTGATACAGGGCCGGTCATGCTATGTAGAGTAAAAAAAAAATAATTCTCACAAATCTAACTGAAACTTGGCTCAAAAATTTCCTGCAAGAATGAAAGTCAACGGTATAATTTTTTTTTCAAAGATGATACAAAACATAATCATACTGGTATCAAATGTATTGTTTTTACTGCAATTCTGACAAAAACAAAACAATTAATACTTAAGATGGTTAATTTATGAGTTCATAAGTGAAGATATATATTTAGTTTGGTGTCCCCATGTTTGTAAAAAAAACACACTCTTGGATGCTTCTAGGGTTGATCAAATATGATGAATGCCATCCAACAAGTCCAACAAACTAACCCCCCAAAAAACCACAATGGAGTGCAATAAAGGCATACATTTTCATTTAAATTTCATTTTTTGTCAATTATGCATCCAAAGTGTGTTTCCCACCATTTTTTTTCCACCTGAAAAAGGCACTGTACGTAGTTAACTCACTAACCGATCATAGTCCATGACAGCTATGAGCAGGCTGATCTGGTCGATGTTCTCAGGAGGAACATCGAACACAATGGCTTCATTGTACACAGGGTTCAGAGTGTTACGCTTGGTTGACGTCTTCCTCTTCTTTAGCCTCCGGCCTTCACACATCAGGGACACTTTCACATACGGATCTGTAGAGAAGTAACATGTGGCAAGTTCATGATGGACACCAAAATGTCTTGGCGTGGAAAGCCATTAAACAAAATATTACGTTGACTAAGCATTTGAATGCCTGGTGTGTACATCTGACGAGACCAGATCTCAGTGGAATCACTGCTTTGTCAATCAGCACTCACCTGAAGCTCCAGTGATGTCCATGGCTTTGAGATTTCTGGCTTTGATCATGGTGATGGTGAGCCTGCCAGCCGTGGGGAGATAGCACAATGAGAACATCAGCTCTCCTAGGTCCACATTGTCCTGTAAAGAAATATAATACATTAATACTGCTTGTTCTCCTACTATCAATATTTTAAATACAGGAAGTGATGGGAAAATATTTTTTGGCCTGCAGGGGACTTTATAGTTTGCACAGTTGGCCACTGGAATAGGCTGAAACTGACGGCAACAAAGTGTATTGCGTGGCCATGCTCACATGGACATACATGTGCATGTGCGCATAAGATACAAACAAATAATGAACGCCCTTGCAAAAGCATTGCCACATAGCGCTACAAGTGGTCAAACAGCGGCACTAGACTAAGGCTGGAGGATATTGTTGGGAAAAAAAGAGGATAAATGCTTCAGTCTGGTGCACTTTGAAGGCAACGTTTTGTGCTCTCGTAAACAACTAAACAAACACATTAGTTTTATAGATATGAATGGTGATGACAGCAAAAAAGTCACACCCACAAAGCATGGTCAACGAGAAGGGGTCCGTATTGCCGACATCGTCGGGAGGCCCGTCCATCCACGCAGGGAGAGAGGGCGCAATGATTACTACAGTCCACGGCCCCGGGTGAGAGGTACTGTAACGCTCACGGATGGAGCCCATAGACACCTTTAGCTCCCAGCTTTTCCGAAGCCGAATTAAATCTGGTGGCGGTGCACTGCTTTTGCGAAATGCACTCGTCGCGGAGAGGATCCCCCCACAATGAGAGGCCATCCCTTACTCACCAAGTTGATTCCCCCAGGCAGAACCAAACCCCATCCATTGATATACTGTAGGTAATTAATGGGAAATGGAGTTTTCCTTTTATGTTTGCCGACATTTGCCGACATAGTACGTCCTCCGATGTAGCTATTGTGCATAGGTTTATCACAGTGTCAATGCTGAACAATGCATCGTGCAGCCCTACATTAAGCTCATTTACTTAACATACAAGCTGAAACAGATATCGGCTACACAGCTCAAGAAAAAGCAAGGGTTTTCCCTTGCTTGTCAAAATCTCAGCTAATGCCAAACACAGACAGTCACATTTAGAATAAAAGAGAACTGCTTAGCTTGCAAGTAAGCAAAGAGTGTTAGACATTGGGTTTGTAATGTTAAGCTTGAGAAAAACGACTTTAGGATAGTCAATTAAATCAAAGTAAGTTAAGGTTTAATAAGGGTAAGGTAACGGTTGAGTGAAATTCCCAAACATCAATGGGTAGATTCAACAGAAGGCACATTATAATATGTTATACAAGTCTTTGCACCTCGGATATGGATCATGCCTGTGACACCTCCGGTAGAAAAAAAAACCAAAACATAGAATCCTTTTTAATCACATCTGCAACATGCCGCAATAGTATGACTCATCATTAATCATTATGTTTTTCTATCACAGCAAGTCTTGTCTTTATCATTTAAATGATATGCAAGCTGGTTTTGGATATTTGTTGCATCTTTAAGTCAGTATTTGTATAAACTTGTGGTGTCTGCCATCAGATTGAAATTACTCCTGTCTTCCTTTGAGAATATCCCTGCTTTCACAACTTACCCACAGTCATGCACATGCCAAGCTCTTTTCCCAATTAACACATCTGAAAATAACGTGTGATGGTGTGAGAGCGAGTGGTGCGTTCATGAGGCAAAGGCCTAAACAAGGTTTCTTACAGAGAAAAATGATCTCTAGTTTTACGCTTTCTCCCACAGGTTGGGCTGACACAGACCTCCCTGTTACAGAATCTTAAATAAGAAGTGAAAACAGCCAAAATTGTACAACATATTTGGAGGGGTCACTCCTATGTTCCCAGGCTCCTATGTTCCCCAGATTTATGAGTCACATAATGGGAACATAACAAAGGGTCCTATGATCCCCAGTTCTACATGTTCTCTCCCAAAGTCCTATGTACCTAAGTTCTACATGTTCTCTCCCAGGGTCCTTTGTTCCCAAGGTCCTATGTTCCCCAAACCTGTTCTCAGTCCCAACTTGTCACATACAAATGCTTGGTCAGGACCCCTTAGCATCCCTTTTAAAACACACTGGGTACCCCTTGGTGTCACTTAGGTTTAGGGAACACATTTTTTAGGTTTAGGAAAAGATAGTGGTTTGGGCTCAACTAAGTATGTTTTTGACAAGCTTGGAATTAGAACTGGCTTGTTCCCCAGATCTATAGCACAAAATGGAAACCTGCAAAAGATGTTCTCCAGCTCTATTCTCTCAATATGACGTGCTATCAGCTGCTCATCAAAGGGAACGTAGCATGAAGTTGAATAGCACCCTAGGAAAATGAGTCCCTGACAACATTATACCTTCGAAAAAGTTTGACCTACTTAATGTGTGTTGGAATATTGAACTGGGAAACATAGAATATTGTACTGGGAAAAATAGGATCCTGGAAACATAGGACACTGGGAACAAAGGACCCTTCGAACATAAGGCCCTGTAAACATAGCATCCAAGGAACATAGGACTTGTAAATATAGAACCATGGGAACATAGGGCCCTGGGAATGTAGGACCTTGGATATATACTCTGGGAACATAGGACCTTGGAAATATAGGACCCTGAGAACATAGGACCCTGGCAACATAGGACCCTGGGAAAACAGGACTTTTTTAATATAGGACCCTGGGAATGTCGGATCTTGGAAATGTAATACTCTGGAAACATAGGTCCTTGGAAATATAGGACTGTGGGAACATAGGATCTTGGAAATATAGGACCCTGAGAACATAGGACCCTGGAAACATAGGACCATGGGAACATAAGACACTAGGAAGATAGGACTTTTGATATATACGTATGACACTGGGAACATAGGACTTTTGCAATATAGGAAACTGACAAAGGACCTTGGAAATATAAGACCCTGGGAATGTAGGACCCTGGAAATATAACACTCTGGGAACAGGTTTTTGGGAACATAAGACCCTGGGAACATAGGACTTTTGTAATATAGGAAACTGACAAAGCACCTTGGAAATATAAGACCCTGGGAATATAGATATGCCCCCAATTTTGGATACTTAATCACTACAAGGAATTTTAAAAGGAAAATGACAACTGGCTGATGTGGTTCCAGTTGTTTAAGCATCTGCAAATAAAAGTCAATAAATGTACTGATAGCTCTACTATTATAACATAAACTCTCTCTTGCTTCTCTGAATTAATGTGCTTTGTATTTCAATGGACACCTTGCAGGTTAACACAACTATCTGATGTGTCTAAAAGCATTCCTTCCAATCAATGATTAATACACAGGATGTTAGTGATTTTGTACTTAGTCTTTGTCAGAAGCGACCAATTAGATAGAAAGCCTACTTAAAGGTCACTACTGCTGAAACTGGAAAATCATTGTATCCCTTGGACATCAATATTTACTCTTTCTGATGCTGATTAGGATTAATTGAAGTCAGTCTATATGGGCCGCCACACACACACACACACACACACACACACACACACACACACACACACACACACACACACACATTAGGATGCTACTGCTCTGGGTCTTCTGCTGAAAATCGCTGAAAATCAAATTGAACAAAATTAGTTGATTCATCACGGATGTCAGCATCGACACGCCTGCAAGCATTGAAACACACATGCGCTCACACATGTGCACACACAAAGACACACTTACAAACAGGAGCAGAGTTGTTCAGGATCTGTGACATTTTGATCTGTGTGATGAGTTGATTCATCACACGAGTTGCTGAGGCAGAATCCACCTCTGACACTACATCATCATTGTTACTTTACAGCTTGTGCTGTCTCCAAGGTGAAACACATGTATGAATTTCTGGCACAAGCACAGGAACTCACACACCCACAAACGCAAACTGGTAGACACTCCCACAAACCTGCAGAAAACCCTTTAGCCCTTCAGCAGATAATGTGATATCCTCCTCCCAACACACACACTCATGAAGCAACACTTAAGTTTTCAGACTGTACAGTGCCGCTCGCTTCCGCTACTCCTCTGAGCACTCAAATCAAGCCTGTGGTCAGGATTATGGTTACTTGTGCTTGGCCAATGGAATTAGAAAGGTGCTTGAAAGCGTTCCAATAAAGCACAGAGAGAGTGTGGACAGTCCATCTTCTCCAATTATAATACTAGCACCTTCTCTCCCTAAGGGGCAGCGAGGCTTTATCTACAAGCCTCTCTGTAGGTCTAGTAACGCCGCTGGTCACGCCGCTCGCTAATCGCTCCAATAACAGCTGCTTCCTCTGTAATAATGCAGACTTTAACTGAACAACAGCTGCTAGTAAAGACAACAAGGTCAGCATCGCCTGCAATCAGTTGTCCATGTTGGATTAACCTGGTAGTTGATCGGTAATCAATGTTGTTGTTAGTGAGCTTCCGGGTAAGGGTCACGTGATAGGTGTGTGACGAATCAGGGAAGGACACGTCATGACTGCTAAGAACCAATCAAGTAGCGAACGCGGGTGTGGGCGTCATCGTTTCTAATCTTATCCGGTTTCGGCCATCCACACGAAAACGCAACCCGGAGTTTTCAAACTTATCCGTCCTCAGGAGCGTTTTCAAACTCCTCCGTTTTCGGTGCTCGAAAACGCCGGCGTAGTGTGGACGTTCAGTGTAAACGTAGCAAAACATATGCGTTTTCAAATGGAAATGGAGTAGTGTGGATGTAGCCTAACTCGATCTCTCTCTGCTCTTTCTCAATATTTTTTCGTCCTATTTTCCTCCTCCTCTAAAAGTGTGTTATGTTTAAAGGCACAATGAGTAGGATTTGCTTGTAGCAATTTGTAAACAACGAAAATCAGTGTGCTCGCCAGCGAATTAAAGCCAAGCCCGGATTCACTCTTGTTTTGGGACGAGATTTGTCCGCTTGTCATTTTCATGGGCTTTTTTTCTCGCCATTATCGTAGCTTCATCTTGTTATGATCTGGCAGAAGGGGGTTGACACCGAGAAATGTAATATTTGTTATAGCGATTGAGTCATTCCTGTTATGCAGCAACAATTCTGCCTTATAACTTTAAAATATATATATATTTTTTTTATTATTACTTTTATTATATAAGAA